GGGCGGCTCTTGCCACAAACATCTCACTGTCGATGTTGTTATGTTGTCGTAATGCCAATTCGAAATGCTCCAGTTCATTTCTAATTTATGGCCTCTGGTATATATTTTATTTATTTAAATTCATCCTTGTAAATCAAATGCTTTCGCCTGATTTTCAGTTCTCTTTCCGTTGGACCAGTCGCGCAGCTCGGGCACCCCCTGCCACTTCGAATTCTGCTTCCATGGCGGCACCTGTATGATGATAGCGGATCTGAACGCGGTCTTCTGCAGGTTAGTACACTAAATCTTTAGGTTTTATAATTTAGGTAGTCATTGCTTAGGCATTCTTTATATGTCAAAAAAATAACAGTACAAACAAGTTGAAGTTTAATTAATTATTTTATTTTCTTTTATTTTTTTACACAATAAATAACATTTACTAATCTTAAACATTTTTTGAAAATAAAAACTCAACTTGATTTTGTTTTTTTGACATAATTACAAATTTATAATATGAAACTAAAAATATTTTTGTTACATTTTTGTCTTAACCAGGGCTTTAGCAATATCTTTTAAAAAGACAATAAGAATGTTCTTATATTTCCTATGACTTTTCATAATGGTATTTGTATTTGTAAAACCTTCTATTGACGACTTTTAAAATTTCACAATATGATAGCCAAGTAACTCATTTAATACCGTGAATACGAAACTATTAAGACTAGTTTTTCGCTGTGCACTCTTAGCATCCTGCCACAAACCCGAGCTAGACTCCTCGAAACCGATCCAAAAACTCAAGTGGTTCGCTTGATAAACCTCGCTCATGTGACAGCTGATAAGACAGCGCCGCCGACCCCATCTAAATATATATCTTGTAATATTTTGGCATCGCATTACACGCTCAGAATCGGAGGAATACGGAGGGGAGCGCAATTAAAAGGCCACAAATTTCGTGGCCGGAGGAGAGAACTCCACAAAGGCCCACTTGCAGCCGTGTGTGTATGCAATGTGAATAATGTCTTTCAGCGCCTCGTTTTATCTGGCGGTACGAGTGTGCACACGCAAACCGATTCGACTCGATTCGATTCGATTGGATCCAATGGGATCCCAAAAAAGCGCATTTCACCCTTGCGATGATCTCTTTTACTTTTTTCGTTTTGGGTGGCGGAGTGAGGGGGGGAAATCAATTTCCATTTCGATCCCATAAACTGATCCCACTTTCCCCACCCACTTTCCCTTTGCTAAAAATCGTTTCATGCCGCACACACTTAATTTGTTTGTTCTTTTGTTTATATTTGACCGGATCTGCGAGTGGTCAAGCGAATGCTGCACCGCAGTTCATGGTCATCTCGCGGCCGCGATTTCCCCCACTTCTGTGTGCCTTATATATTATTATTATTATATGAATATGGAATATGAAACACGATTTGTACTAATTGAAATCTCTCCTTTTCCCATTCTTGTCTGTCTTTCAGTTGCCCAACCGAATTCTTCGGTGAACGTTGCGAGAACAAAAGGCCCGACAGTAGGTACAGCAATAATCCCGAATCATGCCCAAATTATCATGGAGGTTTTTACTGCTAAAATAGGCACTTCTATAGCATCGATTGTTTTACGTCGAGTCAAACGCGAGTTATGCACAAAACCGAAACCGAATCAAATTAAGCAAACCGAACTCAGTGCCCATACCAAAATAATGAATAACAATAACATAACATAAAATAACAAAACAGATCTACAAAGTACTACAAACTAAATAGATAAAAGCAAAACCAACGAAATTCCCATTGCACATTTCACGGCTATCCTTCCACATAGAGCTTTCTGAAAAGGGCCGAAACGAGAAAGTGAAATAAACCAAATATAGTTAATAAAGCGACACATCCACACCCAATCACACAGACAGAAAGTACAAATACAGTATGCAGAATCGGACCCACAAACTTAACTCCAGACACCTATTCACACTCCACACACCCCCTGCAATCAGTCACTTTGAAAACGACGAACTACAAGTTTTATTAGAGAACACATTCCAAAAAGAAACAAAGTAAAGTCTTAAAAACGAAAACAAAGAGTAAACAAAATAAATAACTAACCAAGTTGTTCATAATATTTATTATTTTGTAAACTAAAGTCACATTAAGAGCAATCATTAAAAACGAGAATAATCAAATAAATACGAATAAAAACAAAGGGTGCTATAGAAGGTTTATTTTAAATAGTGTTTACATAGGAACTTAATATAATTTCAACTCACTCATCACACAAACCACACCAACCAACACCACAAGTAAATGTAAAAAAAACAGCAAAACAAAACAAAATTATCAAGCAACTCGAACGGACGGATAAAAGGACAGGCGGACAGACAAGCGGACAACTGGACAATTGAACTATTGGACAAAAGGGATATTATCCCCACTTAGTACTGAGAAACTTGTCGAATCCTTTGGCTCACCCCCACACCACACAAAATATGAATATCCAGATTTACGATTACAATCAACAGAGGCTCTCTTAAGTTAGATACACGAATATCCACACGCATAAACGCTGGCATGATCGCCAAAACACTCACCCACAAAAGGCAATGTACTGACTAAACAATTGAAACGGGAACTGAATTTTGTTTTGTTTTCGATGTAATTTTTGTAGTTTGCAAATATTTAAAACAAACCACATTCAACTACTCTCCAACGAATAACCCATTATACTCTATGATTTGCAATTAATTTTAGTTACTACTCGTTATTAGACATTAACACTTGGCTGTAGATTTTGACAAACCAAAAAAAAAAAAAAACACCGGAAGAACCCGATTCAAATCAAACAAACCAACAATTTCATTCTGCTCCTTGTTTACTTTTATTTGGTGATTGTTTTTTTTTTTTGTATTTTTCTCTTGACTAATCTCCTGCGTTTCCGATTTGGGTAACTCTGTTCACTATTACTTCCTTAGTTTGTGCTCGTCTCCTTCAATAAATTCCACAGCAAAGAGAGATCTTGAGCTCGAATGAACCAAAAACATATATTTGCAAGTTTTTCCTGCTGAAGGCCTACTCTTCAACGTCCCATGCATGGAACTCTTTCCTTCGAGAGCGCAATTTGATGCTTGTAGTTGCCCCTATTTGTGGAAATGGTGTTAGCCAGCTTTTAGTTAACAGTAAATGAAGAAATGAAAGATTAATTTTTAATTTTATTTATAATTTAATCTCTTCACAGATATTTTGTTGCAATCTACGGCCAAATACATACCTTAAATAACGTCTATTAATGCATAGAATTTTGATTCATTATATTTATGATTTTATAAAAAAAAAAACAAAAACAAAAAATTAAAAATCAAAACTCCCTGCACTTCAAAACGTCGACAATTGTAATTTTTTACTACTTTAAAAAATTAAAGAATTTGTTGCACCACAGCAGACCAAGCCCCAAACCCATCACCGTTCTCGAAGTTTGCAACTACAAAAAAATAACTTATATCCAAAACAGAAAACATTTCAAAATTCGTACGATTTCCCTTACCTAGAGTTCCTTTTCCCCGAGCGAAAAGTTCCAGATCCAGACTGACTTTAGCTACGTTTGTTTTTGTGCACGGTGACAGAATATTTTAAATGTATAAATCTTAATCTAAACAGAATTTAAATTTATTTATTGTACGAAAGAAGATCGAAGTTTCGAAAGAAAAGCATTACCGATTCGACCCTGACTCTGACACTGTTGCGCTTTTGTTGTTGTATCATAGACAATACTCTTAAAATGAGAACAAAGGTTGACGTAGCCGAGAACTTTGTAATAAATCCTGTAAATAGCTCTCGTTTTAACTAACGATAAGTTTTGTGTACATTTCAACTAAGTTAATGCAAGCTCTTCTTTAACCATAATTTATTGTATTTAATTACACCTAAATTAAACGTAACTCTAGCTATAAGCTTTCACACACACCCCACACACCAACACTATAAGCTACTTAATATCGAAATATTATTTTATTTGTCCTCGTTTTTGATTTGCGTAATTTTGACACCGAAACATGTAAAATGGCAAATTAGTTATTTTTTTCGCAATGTGTATGTTGACATCAGTTTGTACGGCTAGGCGTAAAGGCAAGAGAGTGCGTAGAGATTATTTTTAATTATTTTAAGTGGCAAATTTTTTATATATTTAATTATTGAAAGATTTATACCAAAAATACCATGTAAAGTTTAATTTTAATTTAAAACAAAATATTAAACAAACAAAAACGAAAAAAAAAACAAAACAAACAAAACGATGCGTAAGAAAAAAATTTAATTAAAACTTGCAAATAATTCACATTTTACAAAAATCGATTGCTTTTTAATTTGGTCTGATTTCCTGTTCTTGTTCTTCTGTGGCTTCTTCTACTTCGTTTATAAATTTATTTTGATTTGACTCAAGGTTTTCCCTATTTTCCATCTGCTTTTGCTGCTAATTTTCCTCACACAAACAACAAATCTGAGGGCAGCCACCAAAGCTCTGACAAACCGAGCCAGGTTTCGGATAACTTACATTTTCTGGGCACTCGATTGTTTTGGCTAAATCAAAGTATCGTATTGGTCTTTTGACAGGCGGCCCCTACAGAATTCGATGAACCGGAGGAACCTTGTTTAGCCGAGCCCCGCGGAATAACTATTGCGCTCAGAAATGGATCTCATGCTTAGTTTTAGTTTACACGAGGATGGTCAATAAATTATTAATTTGTTGCAGTCAATGGGTTGTGGTGTTTTTCTTGTGGAACTAAGATTTCTGCCAGTTGCTTAAATTTGCCGCCCTCCCAGCTTTTCATGGGCAGCACTGGTCAAAGTTTGAATTTAGACCGCCAGCCCTGGTTACGATTCATAAATCGATTGTACACAATCGAGTGAGATAAATGAATCGATTTCTTAAGCAAAAAAACAATCAAGGGTTACAAAAGCATATAATTATTTCGGTCTGGCAACTCTGACTCGCAGCTCGGTATATTTTTCGTAGCCATCTGGTATTTTACGCCTCCCCCAAGGCAGTCACACTTTCAAAGACTGCTTTAAAAAATAGCGGCTATTTGTCGTAAAATATTTTTTTGTTTAATCAAAAAGTTGTTTATTTCCATTTAAATTATCATGTCCACGGCCCAGGCAACCAAGAATTGCATCACCCTTAAAGGTTCCGCTCAGATTATTGCGGAATATCTGAGTAAGTAGAACGCAACAGTTGCTCATTGTCAAGAAGCCCGCCATTAAAGGCGTCTCCTTTGTTTTTGTTGGCCAAAATAGAATATGGGATCAATTCAATTTTGTTCCAAAGAGGAATTTACCCAGCGGAGGACTTTGACAGCACCCAGCAATATGGACTGACGATCTTGATGTCCAAGGATCCCAAGATCCAGACGTTTTTGCAGAATGTGCTTAGCCAAACTGAAGGTGAGTGGTTCCTAGAGGACCCAGCTAACTTAATCCCGACATTCTGTCCCTTAATTGACCCCCAGAATGGCTCTCCAAGAATATGATCAACAAGATCTCCATGGTTATCACAAACGTTCACTCCAAGGAAGTGCTCGAGTGCTGGGACTTCAAGATGCAGGCCGAGTTGGGCGACGGCGATAATAGTGATCCCACCAAGCTAACGACCACCAAGGAGTTGAGTCGCATTCAGAACGAGATCCGCGATGTGATGCGCCAGATATCGGCCACCGTGAGCTACCTTCCGCTGCTCGACTGCATCTGCACCTTTGACGTGATGATCCACACCCTTCAAAACACTGAAATTCCGGCCAAATGGGACGAAACGGGTGCCGTTGTCATCCAGAATCCGCAGTCCGTTCAGCTGCGCTCCTTCTCCACGGGACTGCACAAGGTGGACACCGTGGTCAACTACAAGATGAGCTCCTAGCTTCCAGCTATCGTTCTCCAATCGTTTTAAATATTTATTCCAGTTTCTATATATACAATAGTGCGTAACGAACATAACGTATTTGAGAGTTGCATTAAAAGCCAGTTGTGAAAAGCTAACAGTTGCTAAAGTAGTTTGGTAGACCGCTGGACGACGCCGACTTGACGTTCGTTTCAAATGCCATCTGGAGGACGAAACAGAGAGAGAAGCACACGTTAGTGGGGCGAAGGAAGGAAGGCGATAGTCTGTGGGGGACGGCTACCTATCCTAAGCAGCGCTTAGTCGTCAAGTGTCTGTGGCATGACAGTCCCAAATCTCTAGTCTGTACCGAAGTATTTCTGCCCAAAGTGATTGGGGGCCACCGGGTGCAGCTCGGAGGTGAGTATCTTCAGCTTGGGGAAGGCATTTACGACGGTGCGGACGGCCATGGGAGTGCAAAACAGGTTGGACAGGATGATGCAGCTCTCGGGGACGCCGTGTTCCCGCAGCACATTCACCGCCTGCAGCACAGTGTTCCCGGTGGACATGATGGGGTACATCAGCAGCACCTGCCTGCTGCCAATGTCGTCCGGAAAGCGGGCATACACCACACGAGCCTCATGGGTATTGGCATCCGATTCGACCAGGATCTTGCCAATGCGAATAGAGCGGCAGCAGTCGCGCAATCCCTGCTCCATGGCCTCGCCGGAGCGGATGATGGACACTCCGCAGTTGCCGGAGCGATACTTCAGGCCCTCGTATATGGCTCCAGTGGGCGTCTCCACGTCGCAGTGTGTGTACGGCAGCTGGTTGAGGGACTCCTCGATCACGAGACGAATCAGTCGATCGGCATAGAACTTAAAGTCGCTGCGGGTGGTGTTTCTGGGGTCGGGGAAAATTCGGAATTTGTAGTGGTAACGACTTTTGACCCACTTTCAGAGTCACCTACTTGTCGCGCAGAATGGTCAGCAGCTCAGCTACCTGCGAGTTGCACTCGAGAAGCTTTAGGTTTCCAAGATCGTTGTTCTCCATATTTGACAGTTTTATTGAAAGCTTTAAAATAATTTGTTTACGTTTTAGTCATTCACGTGTCTGACACAGCCAGTTTTTTTTAGTGTAACCAGCTTTTCTTAATCATTATTAAGCCCGGGCACACTGGTCGGGTGTCCATTACAAAAATGTATCGGCAATTTATCGGAACCAAAAATATTCTCGCCCAATTGGAGTAATTGGAGTATGGGAATTAGAAAAATTTAAAAAGTTTTTGATTTGTTTTGTTTCGAGCTAACCCTTATAATCTATATTTATACTTTTTAGGTAAATCCGTTCGCTGTGGGTGTGAGAATTGAACTTCGTCAGATTTAAAAAATGTATTTTAAATACATATTTTTAATGGGAAATAAACATTGTGCAAATTATTACTATTGATTGTTTATTTTTAATTATTTAAATTTTATTCGATAAATTAGTGTACCCAATGAAGTTTTCTTATTTAAAACAATAATAGCTAATGCTATTTTTGGGCCAATTTTTCAAATGTACTTTTCCTATACTTGCAGGAAGAAATTTCGTTTTTAATTTCCTTACAAGTTTGAATTTCATTTTTATAATTTTGGTCTGGTATTTGCAAAAACACGAAAAACCCCTCCGTCTTCCAAATTTTTTGACGGACATGTATCTTTGCTATCATTTTTAAAATAAATTGCTTATTCACCTTTTCAAAATTCTTGTGCCTCAAGGTGTTTTCACACGAAATTTTTACTGGAAACACCCTCTAAGTACCTTGGCTATATAATTAAGTCAACTAGCACGTGAATAAAAGACGCGATTACAAACAGTTTTACCTGGAAAGGTTGTTGAGGGATTATTCAGGTAGCCTTCGTCGCGGTTTGTCAAAAATTCGCAGAAATTAGCTCCATATTCCGAAATCGGGTTTGTTAATGAAAAGTCAGCGAAATAAGACAAATATTTTCGAAATAAAATTAAACCCAAATAGTTTGTTAATATCTGTCAGTTATTTTTTTTAATACAAAAAATTATACAATTGTATTGTTTTCCACTAAAAATTAAAATATGTATTCAAACAATAATAAGATTAAAAATAATTTAAAAACGTACATTATAAATTTATTAATGTGTTATCAAAAGAGCAAATTATTCGATGTATTATTTTTTTTTAATTTGTACTACAAAATTAAATATTTTTAAATAGTAGTTGAAAAATGCCGAAACGCACCCAGAGTTGCCAGACCCAGTTGCCAGTTTCGCGATGTTTTTGGTACTATCGCGTAACCGCAACTATCGCTTGGCACCTTCCGCGGCCATTTTTAGTGCCTGGTCGCTCGCGCGTAGCAGGTAGCCACCGTCTGGCCACTCTAGCACATCACCTCGTGTTCACTCGCAAACAAAGAAAAAGTGCATTTTAATTGCTGATTACTGCATTGCGATTAGGCATTCGCGAACAATTGCGTATAACTGGCGGATCTGCGACTTGCAGAGCGCGCGTGGGCAGGATAAATACCTATATATATAGCAGTGTGCGTGCGTGTGGGTGCGTGGTGCGTGCGTCGCAGTTGTGTTGGTTCGTGTCCCCCAGTGTGTGTGTATTTGTATTGCCATTAACTAATAAACAATAACCTTCGGGCCACGAAAGCTACGAAATCGGCACTGCTGTTCCATCTGAACCAGCGCTACAACAAAACAGAGTAGTCTAAAGACCAAAATAAAACACTTCCGCCCCGCGAGAGGAGCGCCCAGTTCAGGAGCGGAGCAGCGGCGATCCATCCGCATCCACAGCACAATGGCGGACGTAAGCGATCCCAGCGAGCTGTTCGACCTGGAACTCCACGACTTGGAGCTGCAGGACGACAAGGCCCGGGATTCCGATGACGACAGGATCGAACTGGACGACGTAAGATAGTCCCACATCCATGCCATACTCTATATAAACTACGCAGCAACAATTTCCCCCACACACACTCGGTCGGAATTTCCCTCTTTGTTTACCTTTTCTGCTTTGTCTGCCAGTTTTCCTTTCGCTCGTCTGGGCATCCCAATTCCATCCACACCCCCTTCTCACAGTATATCCACACACCCTGCAAACTCGGCTTATCTGCTGCGCAAATGTCTGGCGTCATTCAGCCGCAGATTATTCAGCACGTACACTCATTATACGGAAATTTCCCCACGATCCACCATCCAAAACCTCTTTATGAAACCATCGATGATATTGGCCAATCGAAGTAATGTCCTTCAAAATAATCAGCCACACTCCATAGTTTTCAACCACCCTTTTCCCCCTCCCCACCTCAGTCCACCACTGTATAAATGCAACAACTGCGAAGGTGGATAGAAAAGAGACGGAAGAGTCTAAACTTCCACTTAGAAAACGAAATTGCTTATCAGCGGACAATATAAAATTAGAAAATGAGAAAAACCTCACCGCGCTGATAAGAGAACACAACAAAATGTTGGAAAGCAAGCAGGCGATCGAGTGATCGTGCCAAACTATAATATTTAGGGTGTTCCACAGAACCAGTTGTAACTGCACTGCCTTTCAATTGTATAGTATAAACCTACACGGAAATAATAAACGACATCGTTAGCTATATTCATTAAAAAAATAGATTTCCTTTAAGATAATCAACATTTGAGTTTTAATGTTAGAATACCTCACATGTAATCATACTACTTGATTTATGGCAACTTTTATACTTTTCAAAGCTGAGACTATCGATTCGACAGGTTTAAATGGCCCAAAATTAGCTTACATGTTTACTTGCAAACGTAATTTGTAATGATTTGCAAATATTCATAATACTGCATAATTTCTTAAACCAAATTACCCGTACATTTAAAAAAGCTTTAGTTTTTAAATAGCCTCGGAGTAATTAACACCAGATAGACTTTCATTATCGACTTATAAATTTAAATTTTAAACAGCATTCGTTTCAGAATGGTCGTAGTTGTACATTTAGCTAAAAACAAAATTTTAATTTTGGGAAAGGCTTATTTCCAAATGATCTGTGCAACATAGGAACGCCTTTATCTGTTCACTTTTGAGAAAATGATTATCAAGTAAATTTTTAGATTATTAAAATAGTAATTAAAGGCTTTCAGAAAGCTTTTCAATATCATACTCAAAACTTATTGATATAACTTTGATTTGTTTTCTTCCGTGTATGGTTGGTTTCTTTAGTGTTTGCGCTCTCAAGGGAATCACAGAGCTGGAGAGCCCTTTTAAAATGCCTGTTCTGTTCTTATCATAACGCCCCCCTTTCGACAACTTGTCGAATGTAATTTACGCAAGCGCGCACACCCCTTCGCCTATTTATCGAATTGTGTGTGTGAGCGCTATAAATTATGATGGATTCGTTAATTGGAATTCACCGCCAACGCCGACGAGGTGAACCAGTTTTTAATGTGCTGTGCGACGAGATGTCGAGACGGCGATGCCGATGCCGCCATTCAATTGAACTTTAGTCAAAAATGTTCTATACAAATTTTAGGCATGACGAGAGCTGCGGCTGCTGCTGATTCTTCTGCCGCCCCTAACTGTGGCCTTCCCCCGGTTGGAGCAACCGCATCTGGGGGACAGGAGATGGATCCACTGGGGCGGCGGAGCAGCGCCAGCATCGCCGGCAGATTATTTGGCATTGTTCCGAGTTCTAAATTTAGTTTGTCATTAAAGAAAAGGTGTGTGTGCGTGCAGAAAAAGTATGTCTGTGTGAGACAGTCTCTCTCAGCTTTTTTTCTCTCTGTGTAAATACCTCCGTGTGAGTGGGCAGATCGAAAGGGGGAGAAATTCACTGGCGTCACAGACTCCAAAGGCGGCCAGTATGCAAGCCGCAAGAGCGAGCCCCTGTCTGTCCCGATGCGATCTCTCCATTCATCGGAATCTCCCGCTGCTTTAAATAAATGCTGAAAGTAGGGTAACATTGAAGGGGGACTTAGGCTGCGGCATGCAAAGATTTAAGTGGGCAAGGAAATTCAAGACAGAACTTAAGCAATTTGTTTTCTTCTTATTTTTAATCATTTTCTTTCATTTAAATTTGTGTTAATTCCATGTATTAATACAAATATTTACTAATAAATTTATTTCTAAAGTATTTCATAACTCAATTGTTAATAAATACCTTAGTTAAGTCGAGTTTTGTAATTATTGTTGTCACCTGTTAAGTTTTATACAAAATTTCCGAGTGATTTAAAGATCTTTTCTTTAAGTCTAGTTTAAAAGGTTTTCTTTTGTAAGAGCCAAAATATCTAAAGATGTAGAGCATTAAGTTTTCGTTGAAGCCGTATGCTACGTAACTTTCCCTTCTGCTGTTTGGTCTCAAGTTCGCAATAACTATGATTAATTGTTGATTTTTTCGCATGTATTCCGCTGGCAGTTATGCTCGCAAGTAAGCGCCAACTGACTCACACCCCCTCTCCGTATCTTTTCTCGTTTGCAGGTTGACCTAGAACCGGAATTGTGTATTAATCTGCACCAAGAGTGAGTAATGCCAGTGTAATTTCGCCACTTTGGAGGACGTGACTGTGGTTTTCTCGGAATGTGGGGGAGGTAAGGGGCTAGATCGCATCGAACTTCCTCTGCAAGCAGCTGAGCAGATAAAAAACGTATGAAGCCGACCAAATGAGCAGCCTAATTGCCAATTATCAGTCTGGACTTGTTTACACACTGGGAACGCCGGCAGTGCTAACATCTGATTGATTTGGCTCAGGGCCTGATCCCGACCAGACGCACTTCGGACGATGATAAGGGACCAATAGACGGACGGACGGACGAACGGACCAGGGCATAGAAGTGTTTACAACTGCTATTGACTACCAACAAGCTGTCACTCGGTTCCTGGCCACCTCTTCAATGAGCCAGCTAGCTAGTTTGGTGTGTAAACAAGACTCACGGCAAACACTCGACGGCAATAATGGGAGAGATGGCTGATGGCTGATGGCTGATGGCCGGCCGGGAGGGAGGGAGGAGCAGCAGGCCAGAATGGAGGTGACGATTGGCGCGTGCACGCCATGGGATTTATTTATAGCACGTGGGCTGCTTCTTTCCCACGCTAGCCGACACAGACGCAAACACCACCGAACAGAAGACAACAATTAAATCAGTCCCCTAACCCCA